TTTCTGCAAAACTACGTCTTCAAAATAAAAGTCGTTTATTTTCTAGTCTGCGATAATCGCTGTGACGGTACATTCAGAGTGACTTTTATTTTGAAATCCAAAATGCCGCACTTTACGGTAGTCACATTAAACCGGTAACAGTCGTGAATGACATTTGTCCCAATGCAGTATTTTCTCTTTTACAATCATGAATGAGAAATTACTTTAATTTCAACGAGATCAGCACTAAATAACTTGGATCATCTTACAAAATGTCGGAAAAGACAAACCTACAGGTATGTTTTCATTCATTCGCTATCGTTACTCAAAAGTGGAGAAGTAATTTTGAGAGAGTAACTTTAATCAAAACCAAATTTAACTCTAATTTAACCATTTTTATTTTACATCACTCGTAAACCATACAGTGCAGCTCAGTTATTTATGCGATTATGGCATAATTACTAATGTTATTTTGGTTTAGGTCTAGTGGTTAAAAAGAAGTTACTTCTGAACCGTCTTTACTCAAAAAGTTTTAGTGTAACGTAATATTCTCGCATATGAAATCTCTCTAGATGAATGGTGTTCTTTACTCCTCCCTTGTGTGTAACGGACACAGTGAATAGGCATTATTGTCTTATCTACTGAAGCCAGGACACTGGGGCGTAGTGCCTCCTCCATCATTCTGTCCTGCTTCAGATTCTCTATACATTGCTTTCTCTTCCTCTGAAGACTCCAGCTAATTTCCCTACAATGGCAGATGGGCCTTATAAATACATTAGGGTCAGAACATAATCCAAAGTTAACATGTTAGTCTGTGATATTTGTGTTGGTACTGAGTTTTGCTCAAAATTCTTCTTTTACAGGATGCTGATGGCAAAGTCAGCCGGGTGATCCGTGTTGGCACCAGAAAAAGCCAGGTAAATTATTTATTGTACATGGTCTATTTTTTATTTCATATATATTCATTTCAAATGCTCTGTGAAAAAAAGTATTTGTTATATATTTTAATATGTTTCCAGTCTTCATTGTCACATGATCTTTCAGAAATCATTCTATTCATCACAAACTGACAATAATCTTTTTTTTTGTTGATAAAAACCATTTATTTGAAATAGAAATCTTTTGTATTATAAATGTCTTTATTAGGCCTGTCGCAATAATTAATATATCGACTTATCGCGCGATATGTGCATAACCTCAATCATTTTTGGTGGAGCAATATATCGCTCATTATATTTACTTAAAAAGTAATGTCACCATGTTTTGTACATTCCACTTGCGCCTGTGTCTTTTGCAGCTTCTCGTACATAACGTGGTGTAGTCATGAGGTGCTAGATCAAATTTAAAAAATGCTTCTACAAAAAAAGTTTCATATGCAGGTATGGTCTTGTTTAGGGATATGTGCTTCGGACTGCTAAGTAGTGATTGTGTTTCTCAGCAATACAGTGCACCCTTAATTTACAGAGAAAAGAAGGTCAGGGACAAATCTGTAGATGGAAAAATCTCCATACAACTTATTTGTGCATTTTTCTGTTTTTGTACTTGTTACTTTACACTTTTTGTTAGAAAATGTTTATTTAATATTTATTCAAGTTTTTTAAGGTATCTAATATTTTGATACTTAATTTCCATGATCTAAATATTCTTAAAAATTAAAAGTTTGTTGTCATTTGGAAGTGTGTAGGCCTTCTTGCATTATTATGCTGTTACATTATGATTATATGTTCAGTGGCATAAAATGGTCTTACCGCAAAAATCGCTTACCGCAGATATTTCTGGGGCAATATATTGCACAACAAAAAGTTGTTATCATGACAGGCCTAGTCTTTATTGATACTTTTGATCAATTTAAAAGCTCCTTGCTGAATTAAAGTATTTATTTCTTGAAAAAAACTACTGATCCCAAACTTTTCAAATTTAGTGAACATGCAAATTATATCATCTAAAATATCTAACCATTTTCATCACCTGATAAATTGGAGAAATTTAAATGTACACGTTTCGGTTTTTATGACTGCTTGCCATTGGAATAATCCATGATGTGTTTAAAGTACCAATGTGTCTTAATTATGTTCTCAAGTTTTTAAATAATGTCTATATACTGTATTTTGCTTCATCATCACTTAGTAGTACAAGTGTTGCGTAGGCAAATGTAGGTTTGTAAGTTTGATTGGGTGTGCCAGTGTGGCTTTGATAAGATTTGTCTTTGTTAGGGTGGGTACAATATCGCTTAGTTTAAGTAAAGAAACCAGTTACAGCCCTCAACAAGAAGACTAGCCTTAAAAGACCTTCATATTCTGTGGAAAATGAAATATTGTTGAACCTTTTTGTTACTTTTTTTCCCTTTTCAGCTGGCTCGAATTCAGACTGACAGTGTTGTAGAGAAACTCAAGGAGTTACACCCTGATGTTCATTTTGAAATAGGTAAGAGATCATTGCCAAATATGCAAAACAGTTGTTGTTTATTTGTAACCGAGTTTAGGCATGTATGATATAGTTAATATTCACTCTCCTTAAATTGATTTCCATCTCAATCTTTATATTTTGTTTCAGTGGCTATGTCAACAACAGGAGATAAAATACTTGACACAGCTTTATCCAAAGTAAGTCTAAATCCAGAAGTAAAATAATTGATTATTTAATTAAGTGATATTGATGTGATAATTCATTCATTTTGTAAATGTTTATATATGTGTGTGTGTGTTAAAGATTGGTGAAAAGAGTCTCTTCACAAAGGAACTGGAAAATGCTTTGGAAAAAAATGAGTGAGTCCATTCTTCATTACATCTTGATATCATTCATGTATACTTTGCACTATGCACAGATTTGTTCACTGGTCCTTTGGTGCATTTTATGTTTCAGGGGTTTGTGCTGCTACACTGGTGCTTATATTTCAGTATGAATAATGCTGTTGTAATATGTGTGTCTCTATAGGGTGGACCTGGTTGTGCACTCTTTGAAAGACTTGCCAACTGTTCTTCCTGTGGGCTTCACTATAGGATCTGTGCTGAAGTAAGGAATATCACAATAGTGCCTCTGTGTTCTGAAGTGCTTATATGTTCCTCCACATCTGAAGAGTCTTTTATCTTAAAAGTAGCTGACATGTTATGTTACAGACAAACGTCAACCTAAAAGTTAATAATTAATTATTGGAGTGTATGGAAAAACTGATATAGGGTATTGCTCATTGCAAATCCTTTTAAATGTATGGTCAACATTGTGATTCATATTTCCTTCTCTTCAAAGGCGAGAAAACCCCCATGATGCTGTTGTCTTGCACCCCAAACATAAAGGCAAATGTCTAGACTCTCTAGCCAACAAGAGGTAAATGCGGTGGCCAGTACATTTGAAATATATATTAAAGTACACTAGCATTTAAAAGTTAGAA